GGCAGCAGCCCCCTTCTGCCAGAGGGGATGGGTCTCCCTGACTTTTTCTAGCATTGTTCTCAGCTTCTGGTTTCTTAGTTCTCTAGTGGTCAATACTGAACTGAATCCCAAGAGCATCCTACTGGCCAGGAGCCTCTTCTTGCCTCTTTGTAATAAGTTTAGAATTGAGGGTTGATGCTACCGCCACATATCTCCTACACCTAATTCAAATGGATCCCTTCTTGGGGCTGGAGCAATAGCACAGCAGGTAGGGCATTTACCTTGCATGCAGCAGACCCGGGTTTGATTCCCAGCATCCCATATGGTCCCCTGAGCATTGCCAGGAGTAATTCCTGAGTGAAGAGCCAGGAGTAACCCCTGTGCATCGCTGGGTGTGGCCCAAAAAGCAAAAAAAAAAAAAAAGGGTCCCTTCTAAAGGCCAGCAAGTCATAGACTTCAGCCTGAGTTCATGGCAGTACTCAGGTTGCTGCCCAAACCCTGATTCTCTGGCTCAGCTCTCTCTCTCTCTTGCTCTCTCCCTCTAGCTCAGGGGAGAGACCTGCTGAGCTGGAGCAGGGACAGGCCCTACCCCTCTCCCCAGTCTGCCCTGGCACTGTCTCAGCCTGAAAGCCTCCGGCCACCAGCCCCACTGCAGCATCACTAGAAGCACCCACGCAGGAAGTGGAAGGGAGGGGTGAGGCCCACTCCTTGCAGAAGGAATCCTCACTTCCTGATGCTTCTGTCAATCAGATTAGCCTTGGCCACCACCCTCTTCTGGGGCTCTTTGCCATTAGTTCCTACTTTGTATTTGGCTGTTTTGTTCGTTTGTTTGGGGAGCTATACCCAGCTGTGCTCAGGGCTTACTCCTCGCTCTGTACTCAGAGATCACCCTTGGCTATGCTCCGGGGACCAAGTGTGCCAGGAATCAAAACCAGGTCAGCCTCCAGCAAGGCAAACACCCTCTCAGCTGTACTATCTCTCCAGCCCCTTCCTGCATTGTATTTGGTTGAGATGGCAGCAAAGAGAAACAACTTTGATCTTCACAATACTTCTATTTGGGTTGGGGGAGGGGCACTGTGGGGCCATACCTGGCAGTATTCAGGGGCTACCGTTGGCTGGGTGCTCAGGAGTTGTTCCTGACAATGTTCAAAGTACCACATGGTGCCAGAGTCTGAGGCATGCAAACCACGTGCTCCAGCCTGTTGAACTCTCTCTGACTCTTTATTCACATTCTTTTTTTTTGTTTTTTGGTAGTGTTGTTTTGTTTTGTTTGTGTGACCAGTCCTGGCTGTGCTCAGGACTTACTTTGGCTGTATGCTCAGGGATCAATCTTGATAGTGCTTAGGGGACCATTTGTGGTGTCAGGGATCAAACCAGGGTTGACCACAGGTGAGGCAAGTGCCTTGACCTCTGTACTATCTCTTTGAGCCCTCATTCACATTCTCCCCACCACCACCACTTTATTTAAACACCATGGTTGATATAGTTGTTCATGGCCCTCATTTACATTCTATCAGAAGTTCTTGCATTAGTCAGAACTGTTGCAAGGAATTTTAATTCAAATCAGATAGAAATATGGACAGGAGGTGAGGAGGGGGCTGACCTGTCTGCATGGCCCAGGCTACAGTTGGTTTCTCTGCTCCACTGTTCCAGGCTCTGTCTTCTTCTCCCTGAATTTTCATCTGCTTTCTCGTGCCGGGGCTTCAGACTCTGGTCAGCTCTGCCACTGCCAGTACTTGCAGACTCGTAAAGGACTTCAGACTTTGGTCCTAGCATGAAAGATTTTCTGACTGGTTCCAGAACTCCTCAGTCTCTGAGGGAGTCCTCCAATGCTACATACATACACAAGAATCACACATGACTTACATCTCACAGGAATAGTAACATGTCCCCCACACGCCTGTCCATCCATCCATGCATCATTCATCATACACAAACCCTGTTACATGCAACCTTACACGGACATGACCCAGTATTCACAGGGCATCTTCCTAACACCAGGACCTTTCTACTTAGGTATTAGATATGGGAATGCCCATCCCATGAGGAACAATTCATTTTTTTAGAAACAATTTATTTGCCTCTTTTTTCAGGAATACATAGACCTCTTACATTCGTCGATTGCCTCGAGCAGGCCCCAGTAACGTCTCTTTCATCCTAGCCCTGAGATTATATTCAAGGCTATTTAGGAGAATGAGACCCATCATAGTTACTGGTATTTGGCATATTTGGTACGCCACGGGGAGTTTGCCAGACTCTGCCCTGTGGGCAGGCTACATTCGATAGCCTGCAAGTTTGTCCAAAGTAGGAATGAGACAATAAGATGTCATAAAAAAAAGTTTTGATAAGACATCACGTGGCCGCAAATGCGGCCGCGCGGTTCCGGGATCTGGATTTTATAGTCTCTGAGTCTTGGCCGTTGATGGGATTACATGGCGCCAGGGGCCCAGGTGGTGGGTGTGACCCCCGCCTACTGGAATTTGGAGGATCTGGGTGGAAGATGCTCGACTCCAATTCGAGTAGGCTTGGAGGTCTCGGCCCCGGAACCCGCGTGGCTTTGTCCCTCTGCCAGTACCTTCATGTGTGCGGAGAGTGGTCTCAGCATGGTGGTGGCTGGTCCTGGAGGTCTTTAGCTGCCGGAGCCCTGGTCGGGGCGGGGAGGAAAGCTCAACCCGCTCCCCTCCAAGGGGCTCCGGGAAGGAACACCCAGGCGCGGGGGCAGAAGACTGCACTGTTCTCGTCTGGGATCTGCGTTTTACATAATATTATAGGATGAATTTATCTCATTCTTTAAAAGTAGTGCAGTCTTTGCAAGGATTAAATCCATTCAGACACTGGATCGAGAGATGGTAAAGGGTTGAGGCACTCTCCTGCATCCCCTCGACTCCGGGTGGCATCCCTGGCACCACCTGTGGCTCCCCGAGCATGACATAGGGCCAGCCCCTGAGCACTGCCAGTGTGGTCCCCAAGACAATATTTCAGGGTTTTGGGCCACACCTAGAAGTGTTCAGGGCTTACTCCTGGTTCTGTGTTCAGGGTTTACTCCTGGTAGAGCTCAGGGGACCGTGTAAGGTGCCAGGACTTGAACATGGGTCAGTCACATGTAAGACATGTGCCCTGCCTGCTATGCTATCACTTCAGCCCTGAAATCTTTTATGCTTATATAGCCCTGAAATCTTTTATGCTTAAATACAGACTAGGAGGAAATATTTACACTATGTAGACAGGGAATGTGTTTATCTGTCTTTAATAATACAATTATGTATATGACTAAGGACTTATATCAGAGGTTCCCGAACTTACTTGGCTCTGGAAATCTATCTTCTTTAAGTGAACAAACAGAAAACTCCCCCAGTTGCCCCTGAGGCTGCTGCTATCCCTGCATCATTCCAGTGTCCCCCAGGGAGCTGTATTGCCCATCTTGGGAAACACTGATCTAGAACACATGATGTGCACTTTGAAATTAATAGTAAGGAACCAGAGAAGTAGTTCAGGGGTCAAGGTGCCTGCACACAGCTGGCCCTTGTTAAATCCCTGGCACTGCCTGGTGCGACTCAGCTGTCCCCCCAGCTCTCCTCCACCCCAATATTCAATAATTCAATAGTAAAATTTACTTCCCATCTACAGGCTGGCCTGATAAAGATGGGTGTGAGGTGCACCCGACAGTGCTCAGGTCTTTCTCTTGACTGTTCTCAGGCGCCGCTCCTAGTCGGGCACGGGAGCCATGTGGGGTGCTGGGAGTAGAACCCCAGTCAGTGTAACTATACTTGCTGCAGCTGTAAAATCAGAGGTTTTATTTAGTTTTCAGAACTGTGAAAGCTGACTGTGGACTGTGCAGCTTTCAGAGAATAATTAATGCCTCTGTGAAAAACCTGAAGCAGAATCAGAGAGGTGCATGGCACAGAGATTAGTTCAGAGGTTGATCCAGGTCATCTGGGTTGTAATTCTTGTCCACTTTGACACTGGGCAAGCTATGTACCATTAATGTTTTAGTTCCACATCTATTGAAACAGTGATAATACACATTTCATACTCATGTAGGGGTGAACTAAACTAGGATTATTATGTGGTAAGTGCTTAAAGGAATCTAGCCTGGCACATGGTAAATGCTACATATATGTCTGCTATTATTATATAACATGATAAAAAGTAAATATTCCAAATGATAAAGAATTAAGCAAACTGGGGCTGATTCGACCCTGGGCATCCTATATGGTCTCCCAATCCCTACCAGGAGTGATCCCTGAGCACAGGGCTAGGAGAATTCCCTGAGCACTGCTGGGTGTGGCCCAAAAACAAGAAAAAGAAAATTAAGCAATACTAGAAGCAACAAATCACTTATAGTAGAACAAGTGCGACAAAGCAGATCATAGTATTTACTCTATGCCAGGAACAATACTAAAAACTCTGCAGTACTAAAAACTCCACTTACTCCCACAGCAACACGGAGATGGGACCACTACCATCGTTAAGAAAACATCTGGGCATCATTAGAGGCACACTCATTCCCTGTTGCCTTTTTCTTGCTTTCACAGCAGTGCAGGGGTCCCACAGGCGCAGACCCGAGCCACCGACCCTCGCTTTTTTTCTTTTTTTTTGCTTTTTGGGTCACACCCAGCAACGCTCAGGGGTTACTCCTGGCTCTGAACTCAGGAATTACTCCTGGCGGTGCTTGGGGGACCATATGGGATGCTGGGAATCGAACCCAGGTCCGATGCGTGCAAGGCAAACGCCCTACCCGTTGTGCTATTGCTCCAACCGCCCTCCCCTCCCCCCGCTATTGCTCCAGCCCCCCCCCCCCCGCCACCCCCCACACCCCCTCTCTTCACGTGGCCGGAAGACCCAGCTCTAGGTCTTCATTGCTGGGGCTAAACCTGGGGCGCCCGAGCCAGGTCCTAGATTCCGGCCCGGGCCGGGCTCTGCCCACAGGCCCCGCCCACCGGACCCCACCCACAGAGGCCCCGCCCACCCGCTCGGGCCCCGCCCCGCCCCGCCCTCCAGGCCCCGCCCCCCGGCCTCGCTGTCGTCCGGACGCCGTGCTAGTGCCTGGAGTCGCCATTTTGCCCTTAGAGACGCCGCCTGGAGGCTCAGCGTTTTCTTCTCCCGGCAGCGGAGGCTGCGGCGGGGCCGGGGCTGGGGTCAGGGCCAGGTAGGCGGGCGGGAGTCGGCGGCGAGTGGCGGCGCGGGCCGCGGGCTGCGGGCTGCGGCGCTGCGGGTGGAGCTGCAGGGGCGGGCACCGGGCGCGGGCACCGGGCGCGGGTCGGGCGGCTGCTGCGGCTGCCGGGACCCGGGCTCGAGCCCCCGGGGCGGCGCGCGCTGCGGCCGGGGGCGGCGGGCGGGCGGGCGGGCGCGGTGGGCCTGAGCCGCGGCCCCGGGGCGGCCCGGTCGGCGGGGCTCCGCGGGCTCGGCGAGGGGACAGTCCCTAGGGGCAGCGCAGGGAGGGGTCTGCTCTAAAATCGTGGCCCCGTGTGTGACTTGGATGGGAAGGGGCTTTGGATCTTGGCAGGATTTCGGCGTTTTGCTTCCGTCAGGAATCAGAAAATGCGGAATGGGGACTTGGGGCGTGAGGAAGTGTGATTTTTTTTTAATGTTAAAAACAATTATGCACAAATAAAAATGATCCGCTTCACATCATTGAATCCTGGTCTTCTACCATCATTACCCGGTTCTGGGGACTCCTCCCAGCTAAGTCCTGACTTGCCGTGAACTCTTGAGCGCTCTAGATAGTTGCCGTTTTTGTGCTGGAATATGTATTCAGATTCGCTGACGTGGTTTGGAATCTTAACTTGTGCCCTTTAAAAAGCTTGCGGTGTCCGTGATTGAGCCTGTAGCTTCTTTCTTGGTAAGTTTCCCAAAGGGCCAATCACCAGGTCCAAGTTTTGGTTCTTTCGTGGTCTGGCGGGTTGCGTGGGGCCAGACCGGGTGTCTGCCCAGGTCCCCAGCGAGGGTGGGCTGTTGGCGCCAGCTGCATGCTGCAGTCAGACGGAAACTGAGGCCCTCTGGGCAGGTTGGGGCCCCGGGCTAACTTTCATCTCTCAGTCTCACTTCCTCTGAACGACGTGAACCTTGTGAACCCACTTTCTTGAAGTGTGAGCCAACTCAGAAAATGGAGTAGCCCCAAGGACATGTTTTGATGGAGAGGCCTGCAAGATGTAGTTTAGGTTTTGCCCGCTTAAGTCTCTTCATTATGATACAGCTGTTTGTGTGTGTGATGCATCACTAATAAAAATAGTTATGGGACTTTTTAGTTTGCAACTCAGTGCAGTCACGTTATCTAACAGTCATTTATTAAGCTTCTTAGCATGTACCGGATGATGGTCCAGACGCTGTTATGCTGGTCCTTAAATTATGGTGAGGGAGGCTGTTTTTATCAAGCAGTGACCTCTTTGAGTTGTCTGGAAGGAAAGGCTGGGGGGGGGGGGGGGGAGAGAAGCAGGGACCGAGACTAAGTAAGTAACCAAAACTTTCAGAGCCCTTGATCTTGGAAGGCAAACCCAAGCTCTGCCATTCCTGCTCTTAGACAGAAGCTGTTTACAGCAGTCAAGGCTGTAGAGAGAAACATGACTAATGGCAGCCTTCATCTGAGCAGTGGGTGGTTTTAAAATAAAGGCTCGCACGGGACCTTTCAGGTTTCTCAATTCAGAGGAGAATATGATTTGCTCTTGGAAAGATACTGAGACTCTCTGAAGAGGGTGCATTTTCATCTGCTTTTCCCCCCCATAATCTTCACACATTCAACATTTAGGATAAATGTGTAAGCAATCTGGGGGACGAGGGGAGTGTCTTGACTCTGCATTTTACACCAGAGCCTTAGTGCCACTGCGTGTCTGTAGTCTGTAGCCGGTCCCGTCCCTGCAGTGATGTTTCTCGGAGAGTCTGTTAAAAAACTCTTCTTCCAGCTTGCTGATGAGCACAGCTTGTATTTTGTTGGGAATAGGACTAAAACTAGCCACAGTCTGTAAATTTGAACTTGAGAGATGAAGTTATCAGTTATGGTTATAAATAAACATTTCTAAACTAGTTGTGCCTTCACATTACATTAGTTGTGTGATTTGGTTGATTGTTTGGGGGCCATGCTCTGCAGTGTTCAGTGGATTCTCTATTGGTGTTGGAATCACGAATCACCGACCATCCTGTTATTCGTCGATTGCCTCGAGCAGGCCCCAGTAATGTCTCCTTCATCCTAGCCCTGAGATTTTTAAGAAAGTGCTATATTCAAGGCTCTGTGAATTGGTGTTGGAAAGGTGCTGGAAATCAAACACCACTCCCCACCCCCAACCCCATCATCTTCTCAGCCACACCCATGCCTTTTTTTGTTTTTGTTTTGGGGCCACACCCAGTGGTGCCCAGGGTTGCTCTTGGTTCTGCAGTGAGGGATTATTCCTAGGACCGTAGGGGATGCCTGTGCTATCTCTTAAAAAAAAAAAAAAGGCCCCACCCTTGCCTTTTTTGCGTTTGTGTGATGGGGGTAAGGGGTGTAGCTCCAGAGATTGCACTCAGGTCTCATGCATACAAAGTATGCACTTAATTAACCACTGAGCCATATCCCTGGCTGCACCTTTCTCTTTCTGATGGGGAGTTCAGGTTAGGTTTTTTATTGTAGAAAATGGAATCTGGGAACTGGAGCGATAGTACAGCAGGTAAGGTGTTTGCCTTGCATGTGGCCAACCTGGGTTCAACTCCCAGCTTCCCATGTGGTCCCCCAAGCACTGGCAGGAGTAACCCTGAGCATCACTGGGTGTGACCCAAAAAACAAAAACAAAAAAAAGGGGGGGGGAGAGAGAAATGGGATTTAGTTTTACTACTGGAGTGATAAAGGGCTTTATTTACATAATTACTTTGTTTTTTGGACCCCAACCAGCAATGCTAGGGCTTACTCCTGGCTCATTGCTCAGGGATCCCTTCTGGTTCAGGGAACCATATCAGGTACTGGAGATCGAACCCTAATTGGCCACGTGCAAGACCAGCACCTTCTTCACTGTACTGTTTTCATCCCTCACACAGAGAATAGAATCAGGGTAATTGGGTTCAGGACTGGAGTAATTTTCTATAACTCCTAAGGAAAGGACAAGGGTCAGTGGATGGAGGCTGCAGAGAGAGAAGTCTTAGCATGTACCAAAGGAAGTGGGCAGCCAGCTGTAGGCTGTTCAGGAATCTGGAGTAGCTCCTTGGCAAGAATTCCGTAGTTGGCAGAACTATCTCTAAGATAGCCTCCTACTGCTAAGACACTCAATTCCATTTAGTCTAAGCTAAGTCCTTCTAAGAACACTTGTTGGAAAGTTGGGGATAGAAAGAGGACCAGCCCACACATATTATCAAAGTCTGAGAAAAATCAATTCATGTAAGTTCTACTTCAAAGAATATTCTATATGTGGGCACTGTCTTACCATGCTATAGAGAAGTCAATTGGATGTAACCCAGTGCTGTTAGTGTTCACAGTAGTAAGGATGAGGGACTTGTACAATGATGGTACTTTTAAGGTGGACCATGCCCTATGATGCTCAGGGACTGTTCAGGTCTCTGCTCAGGAATAACCTCTAGGGGTGCTGGGCCACCAAATATGGTATGGGTTTTGAACCAGGGTCTGCTGAAGTGACCACATAATGGCAAACCTCCTGTACTAACTTTTTGCCTCTAAATTGCCTCTGACTCCTATACGTTACATTTATGGGACTCATACAGTTTTTTTGTTTGTTTATTTTTGGACCACACCTTGGCGATGCTCAGGGGTAACTACAGGCTCCGCACTCAGGAATCACTCTTGGTGGTGTTCAGGGAACCATATGAGGTACTGGCGATTGAACCTGGGTTATCGTGTGCAAGGCCTAGTCGCTGTACTATGGCTCCAGCCCCTGAAAGAGATTATTGGCCCAGGAAATCAGGCCCTTGGTGAAGGCTTCTAGGCCAAAATGCTGCTGCCTTTTAGTTGGGTGACTCTGCACTTTTCTTCAATGTCACGGAGTCAACTTTGTGTTCGAGTTGAGAATGCAGATTAAAAAGGTCAGCTTTAGAGGTGAACACAGGCCATCAGGCAGAGGCATAGCTTGGAGAGATTTTATGTTAAACAGGTATTAAAGGAAAAGTGGGGCATAGATGGTTCAGTTACTGTTTAAGCAACAGTCAGTACATCTCCTTGCTAATGGCTCTGCCATTTTTCTGTGTGTTAATCCAGGAGGAATTTTGTTGTCAGAGAATAAAAGGAGGTTGTCCATAATTGACTTTAAGCAGCAAACTATAAAACACTGAGCTCTTCAGCTCCACCTTTCTTGTAAGTTTATTATTTATTCCTAGTGGTCATAAAATTGATTAAATCACATATTTTCATATATTTGGAAACCACAAATCAAATTGAATATTCCATTTGTTCATATATACATATATTTAACATAAACAGAATTTATCATGATGAATGCAGATTTTCTTCAATTGATGTTATTTGATATTAAAAATATTCAGGTATATTTAATTTCAGATGGCAGTTCTGATTTTTTTTTTTTATCCTTCCAGGGTCTGAAAATTGGAAAAACAAGAAGGTTTTGATGTTTTGTTTGACGCCACCTGAACTAGAAGCCAAGATGAACGTAACCAAAGGAGGTCTGGTGTTGTTTTCAGCAAATTCTAATTCATCATGTATGGAGCTTTCAAAGAGAATTGCAGAGTGAGTTAGAACCACACCATTAAAATCTGTATTCATATGTGGTATTTTATATTTGATAATTAAAGCTGATTGTTGAACTTGAAAGCGGGTGTCATAATCTGTATATTGTTTGTATGTTTCAATGACTGACCTTTTTATAAACCATTATAATTTAAGACATTGAGGGACTCATGAGTGCCAAGGATTGTGTTGCATAATACATATGTACAGAATTAGTAAAGTGTAAAGGATGGTGATGTGTGTATTATATGAAAATAGTTTATAGGTTATTTATAAATTACAGTTCAATATAATTTCCTTCTCCCCTTCCCTCCTCCCTCCTCCCTCCTCCCCCCTCCCGCCTCCCTCCTCCCCCCTCCCCCTTGGATTTTGGGCCACACCCAGTGATGCTCAGCAACCACTGTTGGTTCTGTACTCAGGAATCAGTCTTGGCAGGACTGTAAACCACAGTGCCTAAAACTTAAAAAAAAAAAAGAAAAAAAGTGCCAGTTATAGAGGCACACGAGGGTGTGAGGGGGGAAACTAGGGACATTGTTGGAGGGAAGTGGACTTCGGTGAAGGGATTGGTGGTATTGGAACATTGTGTGCCCAAAACCCAGTCTTGAAAAACTGTAATTCGCAGTGACTAAATAAAAAAATTAATTAAAAAAAAAGATGTGAGTCTGTTCAATTACACTTTCAGCTTCCCCTGCTTTTCTCTTTCTCTAGGCGACTGGGGGTAGAGATGGGCAAGGTGCAGGTTTACCAGGAACCTAACAGAGGTGAGCTCTCTTGGGTATGTGGACATCTTTATTTTGTGGAATGTGATACACTTAGTCCTTCATCCTCCACTTTCAGAACCGTTGCATTCAGTGTCTAGTTCTGTCATCAGGCAGTCGCAGTCAGTCTAGCAGGGTAGGTAAGAATGGTATTTTATTTATTTGGGGCGGGGGTGGGGCAAAGATCAACCTAGCCCCTCATGTACATGAAACGTGTTCTACTGCTGAGCTACATCCCTAGTGAAAGAGTGGTAATTTAGCTCCCACCAGTACTGGGTAGATATAGGAGACTGTTCCCTATACCTGGAGGCTTGAACTCTGGCTCTGGATCTCATCCAAGAGAAACTGCCTAGATAGATGAAACCACTGGCCAACTGAATTGGAAACATAAGCTCAGTCATTGGTTGAGTTTATGTCACTTTGAGCAGGATAAGTAACTCCTGCAGACATAGCTTTAGTTGGTTGGTACTGTTTATCTCCCTGTAAGTTGTTACGGCTAGCCATCACGAAGTCTCATTAGGAAATGCTTAGCTATCACTACATAACTATCCTGAATTGTAAAAGAGTGTGCTACTTCATCTTTAGTTCTTTTAGAAATGCTCTGTATTTGAAACTGTTCTACCAGGAATGATGGAAGAGCTTTCACAGGCTTGGGAGTCAGATAACTTATCCATGGCAAGTGACTTTTAACCTTTTAAACTGCAAATAATTAGAGCTATTTTGAGGATTAGAAAAGATAATTTATATGCTTAACCCAGGCACATAGTAGAAGCAATAAATATTTTTTCCTCAAGTACCTAAATATTACAACTTTTTACATGAAACTTTAAAAAGGCACTATTTTGCCTTATCCCTAATTTTTTCTCCAGTACTTGATTTACTATCTCCCAGGATTTCCTTGTGTATTCCAGTAGGAAAAAGATGCAATTGAAGAAAGCAAGAAGGGAAAGTTTGGGAAAGGTCCTGCCACAAGGGAATCAGATGACGTCCTGTGTCATGGTGAAAGAGTTAGGAGAAGGCTGGTTTGCTCTCCAGGCAGATAATACATGGTGTCTTTTGTGGAAGAAGCAGGGAGTTGACATGAATTCTTGTTATTACCAGATACTAAAATATATCTGGATATTTTTATGGATAAATTTGGGACCAGGAGAGATATAGTACAGGAGGTAGGGTGTTTGCCTTGCACATGGCCAACTGAGGTTTGGCATCCCATATGGTCCCCCAAGCATGGGAGTGATTCTTGAGTGCAGAGCCAGGGTAATCTCTAAGCATCACTGGGTATGGCCCCAAAACATAAATAAAAATATTTTTAAAAATGGGTGAGTTAGACTGGGATCTCAGAAATGGCAGAATCAGGAGTCAAATCTAGGTTTACTTGATTCTAAAGTTCATTTTCTTTCCATGGTAAGCATATACTTTTTTATTTATAATATTTTGATCATTTTTATGGGAGGGGGACGTTTGGGCCACACTTTGTGCTCAGAGATGGCTCTTGGCTCTGTGCTCAGGGACCAGGCATTTCTGGGGATTGAACCCAGGCTGCCTTTTCGCAAAGCATGCACTCAACCAATTCAACCCTATTTCCAATATTTTAGTTAAAATGTTCAAATGTAATAAATTGAAAGTACAATGAAGTCATGTAGTATACAACCTGGATTTAGCATTTATTATTTTGCTATATGAATATGTATGTGTAGGACCATCCAGAAACTTATTAACCCCTGAATACTTGACCATGCATTTCCTGGAAATAAGAAATTTGATGGTGGTGGTGGGAGTTGGTCTACATCTGGCAGTGATTAGGGTCTATTCCTGGCTCTGTGCTCAGGGGTAACTCCTGGTGGTGCTCAGTGCACCAAGTTTGGTGCTGGGGATCGAACTGGAGTGGGCTGCTTGCAAGGCAAGCTTCTTACCTCCCTTAAACTCTGTCCAGCCCAAGAAAAAAAAATCTTTGTTTCATGTAAATTTATTGCTGTTGTCACATTTAAAGAAATTAGTTCTAGGAGCCTGAGTGAAAGTACAGTGTAGAGGCCTTGCCTTGCACATGGTTCACTGTGGCATCCCATCTGTCTTTTGAGCCTGCGGGGAGTGATCTCTGAGTGCAGAGCCAGGAGTAAGCCCTGAGCAGTGCTGAGTGTGGCTCCAAACCGCCACAAAATTAGTACTCTAATTATCTACTATTTGTCTATATTCAAATTTTCATAGTTGTCCTAAAGTCGTTTATAGTTTTGTTGAAGATTTTTTTACCCCCGCAAACTAGGATTCTTAGTGTTTTTTTTTTTTTTTCGGGTTTATTTTTTTTTTCTGAAAAGTTAGTTTTGTTGGTGGGAGAATCCAGTCTTGGACACATTCACTTGTGCACGTATATCTGTATACTTGCTAAAATAGATTATCCCCGCACCTTTTCTTCTGCCTTCCACTGGTGTCAACTCTTTGAATAGTGTCTTTTGTTTTTTAGTGTTTTCAAAAATTTGCATTTCAAGTCTTTTAATTGTCTTTTCCTATTATTTCCTGCCAGAAACAAGAGTACAAATTCAAGAGTCTGTGAGGGGAAAAGATGTTTTCATCATCCAAACTATTTCAAAGTGAGTACTCAACAGAAAAAAGTGTTGGAGCTTTCTGGATTTCTGTTTGGGCATGAGTTGTTTAATTAATGGGTTGGGTGAACAAGAAGAACTAAAATAGTTTCATAGTTATTTGTATTATTTTGCTATTGTTTTCTGACATAACTGTCGTTTTTTGGTATTCTTGAAAGTTTGAAATAATAACCTACAGGCTCTTTTTTGAGGTGGGAAGGTGCTTTGGGCCACACCCAGTAGTGCTCTGGGCTTTGTGCTCAGGAGTCACTCCTGAGTGGACCATATGTGGTACGGGGATTTGCATGAGGGTGGGCTACGGGCAAGGCAAGCACCATAACCCTGTACTATTGCTCCAGCCTGCAAGTTTTTTTCTTGGGCATTCTTTTTAAAAATTAAATAAATTTGATAGTGTATAAATTTAAGGTACACATTATGTTACTTTTTTACATTTCTAGATTGTTAAATGTTTGTCATTGTCCTGATGCATTGCATACTTATTGTATAGTACTATTGTCTATATTGACTTTAATATACTTTAGATTTCAATTTGTTGCAATTCTAAGTCTTTTCATTCTTTGTTTTCGTTTTGGGGTCACACCCAGCAATGCTAAGGGCTTATTCTTGGCTCTGTGCTCAGGGATGATTACTCTGACAGGGCTTGGGGAACCATATAGAGTGCCAGGAATTTAATCTGGGTGACGCACCTTATCCACTGCACTATTACTCCAGCCTGCAAGTTTTATTTTGTTTTATTTTTTTGTTTTTCTTTTTGGGCCACATCTGGTGACGCGCAGGTTACTTCTGGCTCTATACTCAGAAGTCACTCCTGACAGTGCTTGGGGGACCATGTGGCATGCCAGGGATTGAACCCGAATTGGACGCGTGCAGGGCAGGCGTCCTACCCACTCTCCTATCTCTCTGGCCCCAGGTTTTATTCTTTTTATTTGGGGGGGTTACTCACATTTATTTATTAAACAGTGATATACAAAGTTGATATACAAAGTTGTTCATAAATAGAATTGTTTCAGGCGTAGAATGTTCCAACATCAATCCCACTACCAATGTCCCCATCCTTCCACTAATGTCCCCAGGTTCCCTGCCACCTCCCGGCCTACCCTCTTAGCAGTCATATGACAAATTTACTTCATATTACTTGCCACAACAAAACTCAAAGAAGCAGCAAATGGAATTATCAGAAAATAAATCAGCAAAAGTAAATTTGCAGTGACTGCTAATGATTTGCTCCAACAAAACTTAAGGGAATGGCAAATGGAATTATTAGAAAATAAGAAAAGTCTTTATGATTGCTATATGTTTATAGCCTTTCTTTAACTAATAAAGGACAACCAAATGCATCATTAGTAAATGCCATACTCAATGCCACATGATGGGAAGTTTCTCCTGTCCTTTAAAGGAGCTCCTTTATTTCAGCAAGCAGTTACTCTTTATAATCTGTTAATCTAACGATGTCTTTGTCCTTAGGATGCTATTTCACTGGTCATGCAGTTGAATATGTAATATTTCCATTTGCGTGGTAGGTTATTACAGATGTATTTGAGGAAAGATAGAAGACCCGAGTACTCCTAGAGTTGGTTGGGCCAAGGGGCTGGAATTAATGTGTGGATGCTGATGTGTCCAGGCAGTTTTGGGTTCATGTGGGTTTGAGAGGAGCTCTCTGTCCAGTGGACCTAGGAATAGGTCACCGATGACACAGAAATGATGGGCCGGGAAGCCAGGGGAGCTTTTTAAAGCTTCTTGCAAAACTGGTTTCAAAGTTATGTATTCCCTGAGCTGTTGCCCATCCATAAAGGTCTGTATAGTTCCTTCAGATCTGAATGGTCTTGGTGAGGTGTTTAGTTCATTGAGTTTTTGTATTATGTCTTTGCATATTCTTCTGGCTCATGGAGTCTAATCTGCTGTACATTTTATGGGCTTTCCTTTGTATATAAATTCCTTATTTGATCTTGCTACATTCAATATTCTGTCTCTGTATTTGGATTTTGTCATTGCTCCCAGCAGTGCTCAGGGCTTAATCCTGGTTCTGCACTCAAAAATTACTCCTGGCGGTACTCAAGGGACCATATGGGATGCTGGGAATCGAACCTAGGTTGGCTGCGTGCAAGGCAAATGCCCTACCCGCTGTACTATTGCTCCAGCCCTTGTTCATTTCTTTTCAAACTGTTTTCCACTTTCTGCTGTTGCCTAGTGTTTCCTCCTCCTCATCTTAGAGCTCCTGATCTTTTGTTCAGCTTCTATTATTATTTCTTTCTATTGACTTTTTAAAATATTACCTACCATGTTCAGTTCCTGTGCTTTGCTGATTGACTACCTGTGCTATCATTTCATTGAACTCATTGAACATCCTTTACATAGTGTCACTGAAGACATTGAGGGTTTACTGGTGTTGTTTATGTCTTTGGTGACACTGATTTTGCTTGTTGAGTTTGGTGGGCTTCTGTGAGTTTTCTCCATTGGAGTTTGATCTTCTTTCTTACTGTGCTGAGGGTGAGGGTAGTTATCCCTGGAAGATGCTGAGGGTTTAAAATGAAGTTGCTCTGTCTTCTCTGCTGGTCCTCACAGCTGCCAGGAAGAATAACAGGGATGGTGGATCAGCCTGGAGCTGTGGTGTGGGCCCTTAACATGGAGCATGCCGGATGTGGAGGCTGCTGGGATCCACCTGGGAGGGAGGGGCTTTGCCTCCTGTTCTGAAATAGGCCCAGAGACAAGCGTCACGTGGGATGACGGGGCAGCATGCAGAAGGTCAGGGCCCAAGTTTCGTTCTTGAACATTAGTCTTCCTCCCTGTCTTTATCTTCTGTTACCACCGTTTTACTGTTTTTTTTTTTTTTTGGGTCACACCTGGCAATGCACAGGACTTACTCCTGACTCTGCACTCAGGAATTACTCCTGGCAGTGCTCAGGGGATCATATCAGGATGCTGGGAATCGAACCTGGATCGGCTGCGTGCAAGGCAAACACCCTACCTGCTGTGCTATCGCTCCAGCCCCCGTTTTGCTGTTTTTCTGCGTTTGGTTTTATTTTTCGATTCCACTATGGAGCAGTAACATAGTACTTTCCCTGTGTGACTTAGCCTCACTTAGCATGTGTTGAGATCTGTCCATGTTGTCTCAGATGGCAGGATATCCTTTTCCCTTAAGCTTCCATTCTTTACATGTAACACATCTTTATTATCCAGTCCTCCATTTGGGACATTACGGTTGTTTCTGAAAGCTGATTATTGTTAATAGGATCGAGTATGCTTCTAAATTCTGTTTCACAACCTTTGGTTTTATAACCCAGACGTAGCACTGCTGGGTCATGTGGTAGATCTGCTTTAACTTGAGCCTCTTTTATTGCTTGCTTCTTTTTTTTTTTTTTTTTTTTTAGTTTATAGGAAAGGTGAGTGGCAATTGTAGGTACTGGTGACCTTCACTGTCAGAGTCTCTCCAGGTTGCTTTTGCATGCAATTGGAAATCCTACGGCCATTATAAGCCACTGACCCTGGAAACATGCTATCCTTTTATTGTTTTCATATTGATTGTACCACCTTATATTCTCCAGTAGTGTATAAGGATTCCCTTTTAACCACAATCTCCCCACCGTTTGTTACCTGTTGTGGTCTTGAGGTTCGTAGTTCTCACAGGTCTAATTTGTTTGTTTATTTATTTATTGGTCTTTGCATTTCATTTATTTTAATTTAATTTTATTTTGACCCTTACAAAGCTGTTCGTGATTAGGTTTCAGTCATACAGTATTCCAACATCCATCTCTCTGCCACTGTACATTGCCCAGCACCAGTGCCCCGTTTCCCTCCCATCACCACTGTCCCCCAGCCTGCCTCTATGGCAGGTACTTTTCTTATCTCTCTCTCTCTCTCTCTCTGTCTTTCTCGCTCTCTCTCTTTCTTGCTCTGTCTCTTTTTGGGCATTGTGGTTTGCAATACAAATACTGAAAGGTTATCGTACATGTCCCTTTAACAGGTGTAGTTTTGACTTATATTTCCCTCATGATGTTGAGCATCTTTTCAGATTCCCGTTCGACATTTTGATATACTTTGTGGGAAAATGTCTTACCAATTTTGCCTGCCTGTTTTTAGTTGAACTTTGTGTGTATGTGGGGTAAGGGCTGCCACTGGTGCTGGTGGCCCAGAAGAGACTCCAGGCTGGTGGGTGGGTTTGAGGGTTCAGTGCTGGGGCCTGTTGGTATGGGGCTGTTTGACCCCATCATTGCTGGAGCCTTAAGTCTGCCCGGAGTCTGACCTGGGCACTCTAAGGGCCAGGTGCGCTACCACTTAAGCACATTCTGGACCTGTGTGAGGTATGTTTTTGGTCAGTAGTTTTTGTATAGCCCTACCTGCTGTACTGTTGCTCTAGCCCCTTGATGTAGTCTTATGTGTTGATACTTACTTTTTTTGTTTGTACTTGTGGCATTGCTTAAAACTAAAATCATCACAAAGACCAATATTAAGGAACTTTTTCCTTCCTTTTTTTTTTTCCCTTTTTAGTTTTTGTACCACATGCAGTGGTGCTCAGGACTTATTCCTGGTTTTGTGGTCTGGCATCTCTTCTGGGCTCAGGGAGCCAGTTGTGGTGCTGCTGGAACTTGAGCCCAGATTGGCTTCCTACCCACTCTTCCGTCTCTCCAGCTTTGATGCACCTTTTTCTGTTTTTGTTTTAGATCTGCACCTGGCAGTGCTCAGGGCTTACTCCTGACTCTGTGCTCAGGGATCACTCCTGATGATGCTTAGAGAACCATTTGGGGTGCTGAGCATCAAATCTGTTTTGGCCATATGCAAGGCAAGAGCTCCTCCCACTACTCTCTCTGGCCCCTCATGCGCTGTTTTTTATCTTTGAGGTCTCATAGCTTGGTGTGGTCTAAATTTGTAAGTATATACACAGATATATAATGCCAAAGAAAGTCTTAAGAGCTAGATTTCAGGAATTTTTTAAATTTGGAATACACGTACTTACACCTGAGATTTGAAACTTTATTTCAGAAATTCCCAAGCTTATTTGACTTCCTCCCTTCTGAGGGGAAAAAAAAATAAAGCTACTCAATGTGAGTCATCCCATCCCATTCCCCTGCAACTGCTGCCCCAGAAATGTACTTTCTTTTCTTGGGGGTGGGGGTGGGGGTCAGGGGTTACTCCTGGTGGTGCTGAGGGGACTATATGGGATGCGGGGATCAAACCTGGGTCGGCCACATGCAAGGTAAACAAACTCCCTACCCACTGTGCTATAGCTCCGGCCCCGAAATCTACTTTCTTTAAGGGAACAAGCTGAAACCCCACCATCATCGCCGCCCCTACATGGTTTCAGGTGATTGGTATCACCCACCTGGAGAAACTCTGATTTGTCTGGTCTGGTCTTTGGCCCACTGAGAGGAAATCCCAAAGCCACTTAACTCGTCTGGAGATCCCGTCATGTACCCCATCATGCTGAAGAGCATGTGAGCTGTGAAAGACGGGCATGCCTCAGCCAGGCAGCGCCTGCTTCACCGCCCCCCCACCCCACCCCACTTAGGATATCCAGCAGGGTGGGGCTGGGAGTACCCAGTGGGTGCTGTTTCTCTTTCCCTGAGAACTCACCTGTGCTGGGGAGGATTGGGAGCCTGGGCCACTTTTTGCTTCTTACAGTCCACTTCTGCATGTCTGCAGTGTTTCTGTTTCCTCACAGACAATGGATTCCAATGGGACAAATGCACCGAGATTGTGATTATTGGCCCACAGGGTAAAGTAGCATCGGAGGCCAAATTAGGCTAAAGTTCAAAAGTGGGGAGTTCTCATCCCTATTTTCAAGTCCTTAAATATCTTACTTCTTTTTGTCAGTTGCATTGCTTAACCATTCTGCTTCTGCCTTTTGTTAGTTTTTTTTTTCCTTTAGATAAGACCGAGCGGGCCCAGTAACGTCTCCATTGGAGACTTTGTTGTTACTGTGTCTGGCATATCGAATACTCTCGGTAGCTTGCCGGGCTCTCCGAGAGGGGCGGAGGAATCGAACTCGGGTCGGCCATGTTGGCCGCGTGTAAGGCGAACGCCCTACCCGCTGTGCTATCGCTCCAGATAAGACCAGCCCTTGAATTTTCTCTACAGGTGATTGATGACACTCTTAAGAGAGGTTGAGTTCCTGGAACAGTGTCCTAGAGAAGGCAGGAGGGCTTGGGGAGTAGTGAGTAATTTGGAAGGATGAGCTGACGGTAACTTTGCTGTGGAAAGTTCCTCCCTCACTAACGTGTGAGAGCAGCCAGTAGAGGACAGATGCACGTGATTGTGGGAGCCCCAGGGAGCGCTCTTGAGTGTGCTTCGTTTTCTTGTGAGAGGGAAAGTGGGGGGGCCTGAGGAATGAAGAATTTATGATTTCTTTTGTGCGTCTTGATCCTTAAGCCTGAAGTCTTCCGTAGAGAGTAGCACCTTGGCTTCTGTTGAACAGGGAGATATTATCTAGTGTTTTACATTGCATGCTGTGGTTTTCTGTCTTTGGGGCTGCAGGGATGTGAACACCACCGTCATGGAGCTCCTGATTATGGTGTATGCATGTAAGACCTCATGTGCCAAGAGCATTATCGGGGTGATCCCATACTTTCCATACAGCAAACAATGCAAGATGAGAAAAAGAGGCTCCATTGTCTCTAAATTGCTGGCTTCAATGATGTGCAAAGCTGGTAAGAAGGGTGGACATTTGGTAATTAATTTGGGGCTTGGGAATTTTATTTTTACCTTAGAAGTTATAAAACACTATCTTATTTAAATTAGAATACTAAACAGATGAAAAATAGTGATACTTTGGGACTAGAGGGGTTTTCGCCCTGCCTCACATCCCACTGACCCTGGTTTGAGTCCTGGCACCACATACAGCTGTGCCCGCCCCTCCCCCCAGCAGGCCAGTCCTGAGCTTGGCCGGGTATGGCCCAAAATTTGGGGGATGGGGGAGGATAAAAAAGTGATAAATTTATGGGGAGTGCCTGGAGGTTTCCCAAACGGTGCTGAGGGGGCTAAAAACCACTCCTGAAGATTCTGAATCAGCTGGTTCTGATGCTTCCATGGTTCAGAGCCTGGGTGTGCTGGTGTGGTCTCTCAGTGCTGGGGCCACCAGGGCGATACCGGGGTGCAGGGCTAGGGGTGGGTGACCATGGCCTGAGCTGTTTTCTTAAAGAAAGTGAATTTTTTTAGTTGGGGGCAGGGCTTGGGCCACACTTTGTAGTGCTCAGGGCTCTGTGATCTGGGATCATCCTGGTGGGACTCAGGAAACTATATGGGTTGTTGAATATCCAACCCAGTTGGCTGTGTGCAAGGCAGGCTTCTGCCTGCTGTATTATCTCTGGTCTTTTTTTTTTTTTTAATTAATTTTATTTTGTTTGTTTGTTTTGCTTTCTGGGTCACCACCTGGTGATGTTCAGGCCCTACTCCTGGTTTTGTACTCAGGAATTATGCCTGACGATGCTTGGGGACCATATGGGATGCCAGGGATTAAACCCTTAAAATTAATTTTTAGTTTTTGGGCCACACCCTGCAGTGTCCAGGGGCTACTCCTGTTTCAGAGCTTGTGCGTTGCTGCTGGTGGTGCTCATGGGACTATGTGCCAGGGATTGAACCCAGGCCTCTTTCTTATGAAGTATGTGCTTAGCACTTTGTGTTGTTTCTCCTGTTTCCTTCAAGTCATTTTGGGGGAGGTGGGTTTGGTGGTGCTCAGGGGTGACTCCCAGGTTGGTGCTCTGTAGTGACTTCACTGTTGCTTGGGGCCCTGTATGCAGTGCTGGGGATTAAACCAGAGTTGACTGCATACAGGAAAAACACCTTAATCTCTGTACTGTCTCTAGTCCCCGCCACAAGTCATTTTTATTGTTTTGTTCTGTTTTGGGGCTACATTTGGTGATGCTCAGGGGTTACTCTGGCTCTGCACTCAGAAATTACTCCTGGCAGTGGTTAGAGGACCGTAAGGGATGCCCGGGATTGAACTCGGGTTGGCCCTGTGCAAGTCAAGCTCCCTACCTGCTGTCCTATCTCTTCAAGTCACCTTTAAAGGAGGAAAAAAATTTGGAAAATACTCCTTTGACATAGCAACTATTCACATTTAGTCTCTTCCTCCCATCCCCCAGACAGATTGGTATATTTTGTTAACCAAATGAATTATTTTGTGTTGTTTTCAGAGAACATCAGAGTGGTGTTTCCCCATTGTTTCTAAATTATTGTCAGAGTTGTTATTGTTTGTGTGTGTTTATGATTTATAAAGTACATATTATAAAACATTTTCAAAGAAAAGAGAAAGAATTCCCTAAATCACTACTTTCGTTGTTGGGGAGTATGCATTTTATTATTTTTTAAATTTTCTTTTTTATTGAATCACTGAGCTAGACCCTTACAAAGCTATTCATCCCTCCACCAGGATACATTTCCCAGCACCAGTGTCCCAAGTTTCCCTCCCACCCCACCCCCACCTTCCAGCCTGCCTCTGGCAGGTACTTTTCTTCTCTCTCTCTCCTCTCTGTCTCTCTCTCTCTCTCTCCTCTCTCCTCTCTCCCCTCTCCCCTCTCCCCTCTCCTCTCTTCATTTTGAGAATTGTGGTTTGTAATACAGACACCGAAAGGTTATCAGGAATATCCCTTTACCTACTTTTAACACTCAGTTTTTGTCCAGTGTGGTCATTTCCAGCTATTATTATCATTCTGTTCCCTTCTCTATCTTACCTACCTTCCGCTCCACACACACTTGTGGTTGATTCCAACTATTGACTAGTTCTCATAGTCCCTGTTTTTCCTGGCCATGGATATTAGACTTCTAATTTCTTTTTATTATATTTATATACCACAAGTGAATGCAGTCATTTCATATCTGTCCCTCTCCTCTGACTCATTTCACTCAGCATGATACTCTCCATGTCTACCCATTTAGAGACAAATTTCATGAGTTCATTTTTCCTAACATCTTCAAAGTATTCCATTGTGTAGATATACCATAGTTTCTTTATCCAGTCATCTGTTCTTGGGCACTCAGGTTGTTTCCAGTAAATCACTATATTTTAATGAACTCTTAATATAGATACATTCTCTCTCTCTCTCTCTCTCTCTCTCTCTCTTTATTTTGCAGTGAGGACGGGTTTAGATCCTACCCTGTGATGCTGGGGTGACCATATGTGGTGCTGGCACCTGAATGTGTTCAGCCACATGAAAAGCAAGCAACTTAAACCCTGCACTGTCTCTCTAGCCCTATAGAATACACTTTATGTTATAACATCCTAAAGAAGATAAAACAATATCAAATTTCTAAAATCTGAAACTCAGTGACCAACATATTTCCTGAGCTTTGGGGTTTTTTTTTTTTTCTTGGTTTGCCGGAGGTGGGGAGGCACTGTGCTCTGACTGACTTCCTGTGGATCGGGATTGAACCCAGTAGACCGAACGTGCATCCCAGTCCTCTGAGCTGCCTCCCACACTGAGTCCTCCAGCTCTGCCTGCTGTGCTGTCGCTCCAGCCCCATAACAAATAGAGTTTGGGGCTGGAGCGGTAGTGAGGCAGTTAGGGCATTTGTCTTACACATAGTGTGCCTGGCTTCTTTGCCGAGCATCCCATATGGTGCTGTGTGTCCTCAAAAAAGACCATTAAAAAAAAATGAAAAAAAAAACTTTTTGTTTTAAATATATTTTGCCACATCTGCTAAGGAAAGCTCAGGGAGCTATAATTTATTACAGTAGAGTTACCGAAGATAGATACTTGTCTTTGCTCTCTTAATAGAATGATGTGAAAGTTACACTTCATTAGTGAGAAAAAGCCCTGTCTCTCCCTGAGTAGGGGAAGAGTCAGCCCCTACCTTCTGCTTGCCTCCTGTCTGCTCACAAGAATGCTTCAGCTTACCATACATATGTGGGATTTTTCTTACACCAACTACCTTCCCACCACGATGGGTGTCCTGTGATACAGCTCTGTTCTGACCTTATCTGCTGGAGGGCTCAGTCCCACACCGCTGCCCCACCCTCACTCAGACATCAGCCATAAGTCCAACTGTCGTCTCACTGATTAATTGAAAATCTGGCCTTCTGGGGCTGGAGAGAGAGTGCAGGGGTTAAAGCACCTGTGTTGGTCACCAGCACCACATATGGTCCCTTGAGAACTGCCAGGAGTCATCTCAGCATCACTGGGTATGACCTGAAAACCAAAGTAAAATTCATTAATTTAAAAAAATTTTTCACAGTGATTTCCTCTAAATTATCTCAGCAGTTCTCATAACCCAGGAAAACTATTTATGAGTTTATTATTTTTTAAAAAAAAGACAACCAGCAACACGGGCTGGAGAGACAGTCCAGGGCTTAAGGCACTTGCCTTGCTCCTGCTGACCCGAATTTGATCCCCAGCACCTCATATCTCCTCACACCACACTCCAGGTCTCACATTGAGCGCAGAGGCAGGAATAATTACTGAGCACCACCACATGTGCCCCTCCCTGCCCCCCAAAAAGGATGAACCTTATTTCCGATTTTGTCTTTTGGGAGCCATACCCAGGATGCTTAGGGCTACTCTTTGCTGGTGTTCAGGGGTTGCTCCCTAGTGATGTCTGGGAGTTGCACCCAGGCCTCCTGCATACATAGGATGTCGTCAGACTGTTGCGCTCTCAGCCCCCAAAGGATGAACACCATCTCGAGGGAGTGTTGGGGGCTGGTCAGCAGGAAGGGATGCAGAGCTTCTACACTCTGGCCCAACATTTCGCTCAGCATCCTCGCGTGTTCACCAACCTGAGAGATTGCCAAAGCCTGTGATATTGGCGTTTTTTTGTGGCGGCTTCCCTACATAGTCCTGATTGGTCTTTAATACTGTTTCTAGCCTCACTTCTGTCTTTGGAGAATAGGAGTGAGTGTGCTGGACCAGCTCCTCATCCTGGCTTGGACCTGATGATGGTTGAGGGGCTGCACAGTCACTCCTGGTGCTACTCGCCTGGCCATAGCAGCTGCACTCAGCCAGTGTTCAGAAGGCTGCTCTCCTTTAGTCGTTTTCATTGTTAATTTTAAATGATTGTCATCATTTAAAACAGATTATTAATTTTAAATCGTTGTCACAATTTAGAACAGAGGATACCACCTTTGTTTTAATCCAGGAAATCCCAAGGGTTTTAGGAGCTCTCTGCCAGGAACAAGGAGCGAAGATTTGTTTGTGGTTTCTGTTATCTCACAATCTCATCATAGTGAAAAATATGAGAAATGAAAATGCTGAGATATTTTGATGAGTGCATTTTGTTTTGTGGGCCACCTTCAGTGGTGCTAAGGGCTTACTCTGGATTCTGCTCGGGGATCCCTCCTGACAGTGCTTGGGACTGTGCAGTGCTGGGGATCAAACCTGAGTGCCATATCCACTGTGCTATCTCCCTGATTTTGGTGGGAGCAATTTTTAAAAAAATTTTTTTTTGTGGGAGCAATTTTTAATGGCTGTCTTAATATACTGTATCTTGTGTTATATAGTACTTATTTGCTACTGGTTATTAAACTATTTGTTTCTGCTTTATTTTCAAAGGTCTAACTCACCTTATCACTATGGATTTACACCAGAAGGAAATCCAGGGTTTCTTCAATATTCCTGTTGATAATTTAAGAGCATCTCCATTTTTATTACAGTATATTCAAGAAGAGGTAAACTATCTCAGACTTTTATTTTAGCAGTCTACTTAAGGTTGAAATACATTTCCATTTCCTGGGTTATTCATAAAGAATTGAAACTTGATATAGTCTGCTTAAAGTACTATTCACTGTATATACATGTGATTCAGTGGACTTAAAGCATTATTTTTGGTGGCGTGTAGAATCATTTAAAAAGACAGAATGTCATTTATTTCATTCACTGTACTTTAAAGTTTTCATTCGCTGTAGTTTAAAGTTACTTTTTCTCTTTTGGGAACTTGCCTTGAGTTTGACAAAGCATCACAAGCTCACATGTGATCCTGACTCTTTTTAATATAGCCATCCATCTATCTAACCATTCATCTGTCATTCCATCCAGCCATCAACTTGGTTTTTGTTGTTCTAAGTACAACAGCTAGTGTTGGTGATCCTATCTCCCAACCAGAAAACTAGAATCATTATCATCATTTTATACCCACTTTTCTGTGCCCTTCCTTCCTCTCACCTAGGTCATCATCTTAAATATTATTTCGTCTTTCTCTCAATTCCCTTTCTTTCTAGTTTTATCTCAATTTTTCCTGTATATTATTCAAAACAAAAATGTGTTGTATGTATTTATATAGTCTTTATCTTTTTTAATACATCTTGTATTTATATAATTTGTGAAAGCAATCAGACTCATCTTGGTTACAGTTTTTACAAACTTATCTTCCTTCTCCCCCCCCCCCACCGTGTTGTTGGTGATGCTGTTGTCCGGGGGGGCTGCACACATCACTGGCTGTGCTGCTTGCTGGGGCCCACAGCAGGTGCGGTATTGCACACGCAGCCACGCACTGACCGAGGGCTGCTTTCCTTTGCACACGTTGTTGCCTGGGAGTCACGCTCTGAGTTGAGGTGCAGGGTTTCTTACATGGTGTCTGTTGGGGTTTGCCACAGGGCTCACACTCCAGGACTTGCTGAACATGGGCGCTTACTTTTTAGTACCAGTGCTTGCCAGGAACTTCCCCCTTTCTTCATGATGACCTGTCCCTGGCTGTGGTGCAGCAGAAGTGCCTGCAGTTCCAGCGCTGGGGCCTCAGAGATGACAGGGCTTCCTGGGCTCAAAGAGCACAGTCTGACAGTTATGCTCTTGACTTATGTGGGGCCCTAAGAATTTGAATTTATGACTGTATACTTGCAAGGCAAGCACTCTTAGCCACTGTGCTGTTTTCTGGGTTCTTGATGTTTCACTAGTAAAATTCATCCACTTGTTTGTTTTTTGCCATCCCTGCAGTCCTGTTGTTGGCTGTTTCTGGCTCAGGGATTGCTCCAGACAACGTAGGAGGCCGTGAGATGCTGGAGATCCAGCCTGAGGCTCCCACATCCAAAGCACTCTCCAACCCTTTGTGCCATCTCCCAGGCCTCATCCACAGTGTGGCCCGTCACAATTTATCCATTTTGACTGCTGAAAAATTCTAGCTGTGTAGTTATACTGGACATTTTATTCATAAGATTTTTGCTGTTGTGATAGTACTTGTGCAGACATTCTCTTTGTCTCTCCAGTGGTACATAAGCAATAGTGGATCTTGCTTATATACTGGGTAGGGCTGCCAAGGCGTATGATGGATGAAAGTTTAACTCTTCCAAAGCAGTTATATAAAATTATAGTCCCACTGCATTGAATTAGACATCCTGTGAGCCTGTCTTTAATATTTATGTTATTAAAGTTTTTTTTTGCCAGTTGAATGGTTCTGATATGATCTTGTCTCTTTGAATATATCTCTGATGACAGAAAGTTGAACATTGCTTCATATTTCCTGTTCTTGAAAATGTCCTTATTGTCTTATCTGTTCTTTGGTGGTTTTTGTTTGTGTTTGGTTTAACACTCATTGGTGTTCTTGGCTGTGTGCTCAGAGATCACTCCTGGAGGGGATCAGGGGACCATATGGGATGCTGGGAATTGAACCTGGGTCACTGTGTGCAAGGCAAGTGCCATACTTGCTGTTCTGTTGCTCTGGACCCTCTATGGCAGTTTTGTTTGCTTGTTTCTGAGTAATAGGCATCCTATAAGAAATTCCTTGGTTTTTAACTTTCATTTATTATTAGTTTTAAAAATTTCTTTTTTGTTTTCTGGGCCATATCAGTGCCAAATGACTGCTCCCAGCATGGTGTTTGGAGGCCACTCCCAGCAGTTCTGGGGACTATGTGGATTTGGGAGTCCCTCACGAAGACATGCATGCAAAGTTTCCTGGGCTTTCTGAACCAGTTTCTGGCCCCTTTATGTAATTTACTTAAAAATTTTTTAAATTTTTTTAATTAATTTTTTAAATTATCGCTGGAGCAATAGCACAGCGGGTAGGGCATTTGCCTTGCACGCAGCCAACATGGCCAACCCGAGTTCGATTCCTCCGCCCCTCTCGGAGAGCCTGGCAAGCTACGGAGATTATCTCGCCCGCACGGCAAAGCCTGGCAAGCTACCTGTGACATATTCGATATGCCAAAAACAATAACAAGTCTCACAATTTGTTGTGAGACGTTACTGGTGCCCGCTTGAGCAAATTGATGAACAACGGGAGGACAGTGCTACAGTGCTACAGGACTTAAAAAAATTAATTAACAATTGTTGATTCTGTTATTTGTAGTATTTCTATATCTCTGTTTATGACTTGTCATTTATTTATTTATTTATTTTCTTTTTGGGTCACACCTGGCAATGCACAGGGGTTACTCCTGGTTCATGCACTCAGAAATTACTCCTGGCAGTGTTCGGGGGACCATATGGAATGCTGGGAATCGAACCCGGGTCAGCCGCATGCAAGGCTCTACCCACTGTGCTATTGCTCCAGCCACTATGACTTGTCTTTTAGTTTTCTTTAAAAGATTTTGTTTGGGGGCCACACCTAAAGGGTGTTTAGGCTGTCTCTTGGTTCTGTAGGAAAGAGTGACCCCTAGTGGTGTTCATGGGACCTTTTTTGGTACCAGGATTATGCAAGGTACCACATGCAAAGGCTAGCATCTTACTCCTGTATTGTCTTTCTAGGTCTCTCTTTTTTTCCCTTTTGGTTTCTAGACTGCACTGGCTGTACTGAAGCTTACTCCTGACTTTGTGCTCCGGGATCATTCTTAGTGGGACTCAGAGGACCCATATAGGGTTCTCAGGAATTGAATCCAGGTCAGCCTTGTGCGAGGCAAAAGCCTTACCTGCTATACTCTCTTTCCAGCTCCACTGACCCTCTTTTTAAATTTTTTTTTTTTTTGCTTTTTGGGTCAAACCCGGGAATGCACAGGGGTTATTCCTGGTCTCTGCACTCAGGAATTACTCCTGGCGGCGCTTGGGACCATATGGGATGCTGGGGATCGAACTCAGGTTGACTGCGTGCAAGGCAAATGCCCTTCCTGCTGTGCTATTGCTCCAGCCCCTAAAAAATTTTAACTAAAATTACTTTTTTATTGATGAGGAGAGGGCATGATGAAGTTCCAGGGATCAAACCCAAGGCCTCATAAAACCAGGGCATATTCTCTACCATTTGAACCATACCCTCAAATTTGTTGGAGGGTATTTTCTTTTCATAAAATGTTGTTTATTTTCTTTAGGGAGATTTTATAAACAAATATTTCTTTTTTGTAAAAGTGAAATCCACATAATATAAAATCAACCATTTAAACAGTAACAGTTCAATGTTGAGTATACTTAGAGTTCCGGGCAGTTACCATCATTAATTCCAGAATAGATTCTTCAGCCTAGAAGAGCTCTCTATACTGGTGAATATGATCACTCCCCATTTCTCCTTTTATCCTTTGGCAGCTACTAATTTATATTTTTTTCTGGATTTGCCTGTCGTAGATTATTTCATATAAATTGATTCATACATAGGTATTTTTTTGTGTTTGACACTTTCTGCTTAGCATAATGCTTTTAGAAGTTTTATGAACTTCATTGGTGTTGTAACATATCAGGAGTACATTTCTTTTGATAGATGAATAATATTCCATTGTCCATATATATCCCTGTTGCACAGACGGACATTTTGTTTCTACCTTGTGTATAAATAGTGCTGTTGTGAACTTTTATGGTCAAGTTGAATGTATTGTTGGTTTGTCTTTCATTTCTTGGTAATGTACTTATTTGGTCTTATCATTCGGTGATGCTGTTCATTTTTTGAGGAACTTGGAAAATATTCTCTGTAATTGCAACCCTATTTTATATTTCAACCACAGTGTATGAGATTTCCAATTTCATCATATCCCTCCCAATATTTATTTTCTGGTTTTATTTTAGCTTCTTGTGGGTGTGACAGTAATATCTCATTGTTGGTTTTTGTTGTTGTTTTGTTTTTGAGCTACACCTGGCAATACTCAGGGGTTATTCCTGGCTCTTCACTCAGGGATCACTGCTGATGGTACTTTGGGGGCCTTAGGTGCTGGGGATTGAACTCAGGATTGGCTGTGTGCAAGGAAGCATCCTGCCTGCTGTACTATCACTCTGGCCCCTCATTGTGGTTTTGTTTTTTCTGTTTTGCACTATTTTCAACTATCAACAACCATTGTTGCATTGGCCTGGCATTTTCTTTCTTATTAGATTGCAGGATGCCCTTCAGCAGTTACCCCCAGGAAATGTTGGGGTGGGTAGTTTATTACTTACAGGACATAAAAATTACACAGCACACTTGGGGCCACACAGGAGGTCATGGGGTGAGAGAGTGCGTGATGATAGCCTTCTGCTTTTATTGGAGTTGAGGATGAGGACTCGAGTTCCACGGCTCTTTCTGTTGGTGAGTTTAAAACCGAGGTGAGGGTGCTGGAGAGATTGTCCAGGGGCTATACAGGACCTAAAGCTCTTGCCTTGTATATGTTGTATACACTAAGATCTTTATTTATTTATTTATTGAATCGCCGTGAGAACAGTCACATAGCCTTTCAGTTCAAGTATTGGTCGGTCATACAATGATCAAACACCTGTCCCTTCACCAGTGCACATTTTCCACCACCAAGAACCCCAGTATATATACCCCACCTTCCACCCACTCCCAGCC